TGTCCTCCAAACAAAAACAAAACATTGACCCCATCCTTCAGGCCAAAGGTGTTGTCAGGTGTGCTTTAACTGCAAATTATAGAGAAGCCTATTACTTATCGTCATGCTTTATGAAAATGTTTAATGCTTAAGCTGTGATGCTTTTGTGTCTCCTCTAATAACCGGCTGATTAAGTAAAGTTACTGGCCGTGTGGAAGCTCCATCATGCTCCACAATAAACTTAACACCAGTGTTATCAAAAGCTTCATGATAGACTAGAAAGTGAAATGTATGCCATGAAAATACACTAAAGTGTGTCTCTCTGGTACTTTTAGGTTCCTTTTACAATATTAGAAGGTGTTTTTTTTATTGATCTATTTGTTTGATGTGTTAGAAAAAGATAATGAGTAATGTTCAGGCTCTCTAAAAGAAAAACCACTTCATTTTACCTACTGACCACCTGTCTTACTCTTTAATTGAGATTTCAAACTATTGCCTAATTGTAGAGACATTTGAAGAAGGTAATTTGATGATCAGACAATGGTTGATCTCATCCTGTGCCCCTTACTAATCTGTGGGAGCCTTTAAAACAGTTTTTGCCTTTGAAAAAATGAAGAGCTATTACTGGCAGGAACTAAAGACATTGTAATGAAGGACAAACCCTGAAGACAAACTATCAGAACTGTCTTCTAGCTGGTTTGCAGATCCTCCAAAACCACTAGTGCTTTCTTTTCTAAAGGTATTTTCACATCTAAACTTGTAACACAGTTTAGGTAAAATAAACAGCAAAAGGTAACTCCACATACTAGGTAAATGATATACAAATAATCATTGTATGACCATTTCCATGGACAGTAAAAAGTACAGATAAATGCTTCAATCAGAGATATCATCTACTTATTGATGGTGTAAGTGCTGTTTTTCATAATTTTTAAAAAATATATTTTTATTATCTTTTTTCCCCCATTTTATTGGTTTTTCATTGCAATGTTTGTATCTCTGCTGCTTACCTGCACTTTAAAAAATGAAATATTCTAGAGAGCTGTACTTAAAAGATTTTCTTTTTGTTTACAGTTGTGTGTACAAAATGACAAAATAAAATCTGTCTAAGTCTCTAAGTCTGTGTATTAACCTTTGGTGAATAAAATAAAAAATTGTGATGCCCTAATGCAGTGCTTATGCATCTAAATGATGGATTATTTCTAAGTTTGATTAAAAAGTGGTAAGGTGGGTAGTAGGTGGTCTTCTCTTCTGTGGATTAATACTAAGTGGACCTCTTTTTAAAGAAGAATAAGATTGCGCAAACACCAGGACCGCCTGGGAAAAATGCCCACTTCAGGGTCTGAACAAATTCGGTATTCTGTTTCCAAATTCTCATTCAAATGAAAACAAGTGAACATGATTCCTTGTGAAACATAAGTAGGCTGACAAATCTAAGATAAAATAAAATAAAATTAAAAAACTGCTAAGAAGTAACCAAGATGGCTGGGTTTGTCATGTCCCCTTCAATGAGTCATCAAAACATTTTTTTGTGTGTTTTTTTTTGTGACATTTTCTGCAAAGTCTCTTAAAATTCTATAAATTAGAATAGTAAATGGGATGAAATAGACTGAAAATACTTTAGCTGTAATAATTTCAATCTGTTGTTGCATCTTTATAAAAAAAAAAGAAAAAAAGAAAAGAAATAAACTACTTAGCTGTATTTCTCATGATGCAGCCAAAGTGTTCAACTGTGGTTATAACCCCTTTTTTAAATACATGCTGTGAACATGGTTACAGTTTGTGATAATCTCTTCAGTATGCACACCTCTTTTAAAATACATAGAGGGTTATTTTGCTGTGCAAGCAGATGTTCCTGATGCTCGAACAGCAACTTTTCAAGAACAATTTTCCTCTACTGAGTCACTTTTCCAGGTAGTGGTGAGAAAAGCAAGTCCTTAATAAGTCCCTGGACATTTGTATGTGAATTTCCCGTTTTATGATGGACAGAAAATAAATGCAAATGCGAAAATAGCAAAGGCCACACATTGTGTGTTAAATTGTTAAATCTTAATAATAGATCCAGAAGAATGCAAGAATTTGATTCCTTTATACATCTTTTCCATAATGGAAATACCGATATGTTGTATTCTGGAAGTCTGTGGTAAACTATGGGGTCCTCATGTTATTATGCTCCAATGGTTCACTGGTTCACTGCCCAGGGCAGCATTATGTCTAGGGACAACACAGGTACTTATATCAGTATGTTGTGTTAGGACATGTTTATAATTTCACATTATAAGCTGTAAAGTTTTAGGAAATTACAAGGAAATATGGCTATACAATGAAGCTAATGATGCCTAAGTTGGTGTATAATTGGAAATTCCTTTTGGATGCAGATATTAGGGGCTATTTCATTAGTCTTTTATAGAGTTTATGTACAAATCTGTGATTCACTGTACATGGAAACCAGTTTTACATTTATCAAGGATTTATATTTCGTCTCTAAAAAGAGCATGCTGGAATCAGAACCATGCTATCTTAAGACCAGGAGGGAAACTGTGATGCCCTGACAAATCAAACTACGGTACTAGTAAATCACTATGCACTCATAACAAATTGAATTTGTGTAAATTATTTTCAAAATAAAAACATTTATGCATTGTTTGCCACTGTTTGGTAAAGACATTTTTTTTTTTTTTGTCAAACTTCCTTAATTGAATCTTTTAAACTTAAACAAAGAAACTCAAGGAATGAGCAGAGGGTCAGAAGCTCAGAGCATAGGACCCAGAATTCAAGCAGAAAGACCAGCGTAATTTCAAAACAAGCGTTTCTTAAAGAAATCAGCATAAAACTGCTCATCAGCAGGGACAGGTTCTCTGGATACTCTGTAGAGACAGGAACTCAGGTTAGTGACTTCAGAACTCAGACAGGAAACGCTAATAAGCCTGTGAGTCACTAACCTGATAAAGTTCAGCCTGTGGCCAGAAGATGGAGTGAAGTCAGGAGGGATTGTTTCTCCATAGCCTGACGCTTCCAGAGTTCCAGATGATGCAGAGGAGCAGAAGAATCCGGAGTGATAATACAAAGGCAGAGTCGAAGCAGGAGCAGGTTTCCAGGATAGAAGATCAGAAGTCCATAGAAGCGCAGAAGGGATATTCAAGCAGGGGTCAGAAGACAGGTCCAAGGTCATTAGCAGGCAGAATCCAGGTAACAGTCCAAAAACAGATCAGGCAAACACAGCAGAACAGAGCCAACCAAAACTTAAAAGTCCAGGGACAGAAGCTAGTCGGGTTCAGGTAATCAGAAACTCACAGACAGCTAGAAGACTCTTTCATTCAGCTAAAATAATCTGGCACCCATGGCTGGAAACAGGTGGCTTAAATAGAAAGCAGGAACAGGTGGATCTGATGAGAGACAATGAGCGCTGGGCGGAGCTAAGAAGATAGGAGAAAAGAGAGAAATGCAGCTATCAGTGCCAAGATCATGACAGAGTTCATCTTGCTCGAATTACAAACAGACTAATATCTACTTAAAGGAAACTTTTGGATGCCAAATTTACAGTAAAAAAAAAAAAAAATAATAATAATAAAAAAAACTTTTGACAGGTTTGCAAAAAAAAAGAAAGAAACATTTTCTTGTTTTGTGTTTTCATCTTTGAAATCCTCAAAACTGCTATGCTGGCTAAAGGATTTTCCACAATCTCTAGCTGTATATTGAAAGGATTTCTGTGGTTTATAGAGAAACTGATCCGGGCAGAATCTCATATGTCCTAGCAATGTTGGACAAAACTCGAAACAAACATGAAGTTACCTTCTGCTGTATTATAGGGTAAGAAAAAAACAATAAGATGGGTAGACCGAATCAATTAATTAAATGAAAAAACACCAAATTAATACATTTAAATTAGGTACGTTAATTGCATGTGTAATTACAAGTGAACACATCTTGAAACTCATTAGTCTGTTTTTATTTATTTAAGAGATCATAAAGGTTGATTGGGGTTAACAGTTTAAAATGTGATCTGAAATATGTCTAGAGTTTGCTGGAGAATGCAAAACCGAAAAAAGATTAGAGATTATTATATGATGTTGACAAGAAATTATACTGCATGATTTGAACAGGTTTTGCAGAAAAAATGATGAAGAACAGCAAACTATGTTTTGTGGAGATTTTTACCTGATCTTGGCACAAAGCAATTGATAGAGCACATTTATTTATTATTTTGTTATTTGGAGTCTACTGCGTGTATAGATTGCTTATCCAGAAATATGTTATTTTAAATCCATTAATGCAGTGAAATTAGAAAAGATCCCCATAAGATGTTTTAAAAAAAGAAGAAAATGACATTGATACACTGATTCATCTATCATGTACCATAGAATGCCATTGAAAAGTTACTTTATTAAGCACATTTTTTCTAATTTCAATGACTCAACGGCTCACATTACCGGTAATATAAATCCCAAATCTTCAGTAGTACACTCAACCAGTAAAAAAGGGACAGTTGAATCAGAAATGAATCAGAGTGAGTGTTTGTGTAGATAAGGAGATCATAACTTTAGTTATTCAGCAGAAAAACAATAACATCCTCTACAAAGAAGATAACCTATAAAAGGTCTTTGCTAAAGAAGCAAGCTCTAAACAAAGTGCCACTACAGAAGCTTGTTATTAGAAAGTTGAGTGGAAGGAGAAACTGAGATAGAATAAAAACAAATATCATCACAGCCATAAGATAATTGCCAGTCCAATGCTTATTTTGCTTAAGTCAGCACAGCCATCCATGGAAATAACTTTTCTGATGACATTATAATTAATTGATCTGTGGTATATGGGTAAGTCATATATCACTAATAAATCATCCAAACAAGTTATCCGTTTATATGTTATTACATTCTACATCATATAACTAACCGTGTTCCTTATTAAAAGCCATTTAATGTGAGTAAACTGGTAATAATGCTGTAGTTGATCAGAGTGACTCCAGCATCTCCTGCTGTGTGGGACCCTCGGCGGAGGGATACACCAGTCGCTGTGGTCGTGGTGCTGAGGCTTTTTGCAAAGCAAAAATGTCTGCCTAAGGGAAACTCGTAACTGATATATAGAGGATATTTTCCAATCGATCGCCGTATTAACCCGAATTCCCCCTCTGCGAGGCGCGTCGACAGAGAGCGACTACTTCACCAGATCACCCTAGTTTGGATTTTACTCGACAAAACAGGTAAATTATCAAGCGGAGTTTGGCAGATTTCGGACCCATGAAATAAGTTGGGAGAAACATGTAGACCATCATTAGTTATTGTTTTTAGAAGCTGGACGCTGAGGTTGTCACGTTCAATACATGTTCGTCTGTGTCGCCTATCTTTAGTTGTCCATTAATATAGATAATAGCCGCCGAAGCGACGCTGTCTTCCTCGCTTTATGACCAACAAAGCAAGTAGTAGGAGGCTGCAGCTGGCCATAGGAACGAGTTAGTGCAGCTAGCGTTAGCCGCGGCTAGCTCACAAACGCTTCAGCTCAACGCAAATGATAAAATAGATTGAAAGCTTCAGAAATCACCGACATTAACACGGCGTATTACAGCATTAGCAGCCTCTCCTGTAGCAATCAGCATGCAGTGTTGTTTCATTGCTGCACTGATGCGATGCTGCAGCTCCTGGTTTTTAAACGCATCCATTCAGAGCGCTCCCTCATTCACCAAAAGATACAAACAAAAGACATAATTTATGATCAATTATAATGTGTTTAGGCTGTCTTCATCTTTGGGATAATGATAGGAACTGGACGGCGGAGTCAAGTTAACTTCACGGTGATGGTCTTTATTCTGCATCCATGAGAAATAACCTTCCGATCGTTTCCTGTGGAGCTAGTCCCCCCGCTGGTAAATGAAGCAGCAGAGATGTGACCTGATAGACTCTCTGTGTGTTTTTTGTTTGTTTTTCTTTATCCTGCAGGTTTCTAGATCGTCAGGATGAATCCTCAGCAGCGGATTGCCGCTTTAGGAACTGATAAGGAACTGAGTGACCTGCTGGATTTCAGCGCGGTAGGACATCTGTTACCTGTTGGTGGATTTTATCTCATTCAACTTAGAGCTTTATAATATATATATAATTGGTTCCTACAGTCTGTCTTTCTATCTATCTATCTATCT